GGAATTGCAGCCTGCAAGGTCCACGCCTGCATCGCTTCCTTACCAGCATGTGGCTGCAACTTGCCAAACGCAACAGGTCATGTTCAAATTCACTGTTTCCTCCTGCTCCGGGTTCCTCCAAGCTGGCAGCAGAACCTGGCTTCCTGGGTCCACCTGGAAGTTTTTTCTGCCGGTCACTTAACCTGCTCCTTTTTTCCCCCGCTGACATTTGCCAGCAGCGTGTGTAAGACCGGCTTCCACTTACAGTCAGAAAGCCACGGACCCAAGTCCCAGCCCAGGTCCTCTCTGAGCGGACGTCTTTAATTGCCTTCCAAAAGCCCGTTCACAGGGACTTCAGACTGAACTGTCTGAGCCTCCCTCCACCCCCACCCTTTGATGCCCTTTTCCTCTTTGGGAAAAATAATGATTCCTTTCTGCTCAGGGGTCTAGTCCCACGTGTTTCGCTTCCCCCCCCACCCCCCACCTTGCACGAATTGTCAGGTTGCTATGAGATGTCTGGGGGTAGCCGGTGGGTCCTCAGTCTGGCAAAGCTGACAGCCGTCCTCTTTTGGACCCTGCAAGTCGTGTCGGCTCAACAGACGTGAAGCCGGCAGCAGGCTAATTTCCTTTCACACATAGCTCCCCGCTCAGCCGGCCCGAGAAGCTCTGCCAGACGCCGCAGGCGTGCGCCTCGCTCATGGTCCTAATGCCCTCACTGTTCCCAGGCTTTGTGCAACCGGAGGAACACGACTCCGGGGAAAACAAACGCCGTCACCGCTAGGACCAAACCCAACAGGAACATCCTAGGAGTTCTGATTTGAATCTCCTTCACAGGAAGGCTTCTTTCCCCACCCAAAGGGGCGGGAAAGAGGATTCCCTCCTAATTTCTGGAAGGCTGTACCTGGGATGGAAATGTAGGGAGTTCGCTGGCTATTTGCACACTCAGCCTCCCACAGGTCTGAGGACCACCGTCCTCAACCTTCTGTAAAGGAGTGGAGCTGGGGGAGATGCTTTTGTCACAAGCCCCTCCTGCCCACAACAGCACCTGAATGCCTGCTCTGCACTGGCCTCTGAGCAGGCTGGGGCGGGGGGAGTCAGAAGAGGGGCATGCTCCTTCAGTTGTAAATGTCCTTCATTCAACCAATGAATATCGATGAGCACCCACTATGTGCCAAAACTATCCCAGAGACTGGGGGTATAGCAACGAATAAAACAGCAAAATGTGCGCCTCGTGGAACTTACATTCTAGTGGGAAAGACAAACAGACAGACAGATAATTAAGATATACAGTGGGAGGCACTTCCCTGGTGGCGCAATGGTTAAGACGCCACACTCTCAATGCAGGGGGCCTGGGTTCGATCCCTGGTCAGGGAACTAGATCCCACATCCATGCCTCAACTAAGGAGCCTAAAAACCACACTAAGGATCCTGCCTGCCACAGCTAGGACCTGGTGCGACCAAATAAATATTTTTAAAAATAATAATAAAAAAATAAAATATACAGTGGGAGGGACAGTGATAAGGGCTAAGGAGAAAAATAAAGCAGGGAAAGGGGCTGGGGAACAGGGGCTGGGGTTGACAATTGACACTGAGCGAGGGAAGGGCTCTCAGAAGCATTTGTGAACGAGGAGGCCTGGGCAGCTCAGTGGGCTGAGCATTTGGGGCAGAGAGCACAGCAAGTACAAAGGTCTTGAGACCAAGAGCATGCCTGGCCTTTTGAGGACCCGCAGAGGGCCCGTGTGGCTGGAACAGAGTGGGCAGGGTGGGAATGGAATGAGAGAGGTAAGAGGGGGGATTACTTAGGACCTTGGGGGGCTAAGGTCGGGATTTTGGCTTTTCCTCCGAGTAAGATGAGAGCCCTTGGAGGGTTGTAAGCAGAAGACAGACACAGTCAACTCGGAAGTTAACTGGTCCACTCTGGCTGCTATGCTGAGGTTAGACAGTTGGGGAGAACAGGGCAGAAGCAGGGAGACCAACTGAGGTGTTACTGCGGTGAGACATGATAAGGGCATCACTGGAGGTGGGGCAGTGCTCGGCTTCTGGACTTATTTTAAGGAAGAACCTATACGATTTGTTGGTGAATTAACATCCAGTGTGAGAGAAAGATGAGTCAAGGATGATTACAAGTTTTTGGTCTGAGCGGTTGGAAGAATCAAGTTGCCGTCAAGGGAGATGGGGAAGGCTGGGAGCATGGAGAGGGCAGTGAAAGCAGTGGTTCCATTGGGGACACGCATAGTTGGAGATGGCGTTTCAACAGCCAAGGGGAGGGGAAGGGTGGGCAGCTGGTTATATGGATGCATGGGGATATATGATAGCTGGAGGTCAGAGGACAGGTCTGGCCTGAAGATAAACAGCCAGACGCCAGCAGCACATAGATGGTGCCTGAAGATCCTGGAGGGAGTGGTGGAGACAGGAGAGAGGAGGGGAGCCAGCGAGCTCAGAGGCCTCGGGCGTCAGGTGGACTGGATTGATGGAGGGTGGGTAGCTGCCACCATGAGATGCCACCATCCTGATGTCTGAAGAGGAACCAGGAGTGGGGTGGGGAGGGCTGTCATTGCAGGGTTCCTGGATGAATTAATTGCTCATTGTTTCTGATTTGATTGATCTTAAATTGTGAGCATAAACATCTCATGGGAAAAAAATGTTTTTCCTTTGGATTCAGTTGCTGCTTCCAGCCTGTGTGTGTGTGTGTGTGTGTTCACATTTGTTTTCCCTGAAGCCACTCAGAGTCAGAGGTGAAAGAGTGGGTCCTAAACGATTGTTCTCGACAGCCCAGCGCGGTGCCCAATGGACGGCTCATAGGAATTGACAGATTGGACTGTATTTTCCAAATCCCACATCAGGATGTCCTGGGGGTGGGAATTGTATGACTTCCAGGTTTAAGAGGCAGGCTTTCTGGGAGATGTGGTTTAGAATGTAAGGACATCTGGGGGTTAACGAGGATGATAGGATGGAGAGTTTTGATTCCAGGAAGCTTTCGGAGATCTAAGGGTGCACAGTCTCCACCCTTGGGCAGAGCGCCCTCCTCCACCCTCTCCGGTAACACTGGCCTCCAGCGTGCCAGCCTCATCCCACCTCAGGGCCTTTACCTGGCCTTTCTTCTGCTTGATGGCTCTTTCCCCAGAAGTCCAGCCACATGGCTCACTTCCCCACTTTGATGTCAACTCCAAGATCGCCTATTCAGGGAGAACTCCCCAACCCACCTCTTCCCATCAGAACCCATCCATCCACATGTGGCATTGTCTGTCTGCTTCCCCTCTACTTTCTCCGTGTCTCCATGGCTCTTCTCAATACTCGATGAGTAAGATACTCATCCGTGTCACTTCTTGATCTGTTTCTATTCATTTTGCTCCTCATTATGGGTCATCTTTCACTGGCTCTTCGCATGCCTAGCCATTTTAAATTTGATGCCAGGTGCTGTGAATTTTATCTTGTTGGATATTGGATATGTTCGTATTTCTATACATATTGTTGAGCTTTTTTTCTGGAAGGTCAAATGGTTTGATCTTTGAGCAGTCTTTAGCTAAGGGCCAATTTTTCCCCACTCACCGAAGCAAGACCTTCTGAGTGCTCGGCCTGACGTCCCATGAATTACGAGTTTCCAGTCTCGCCTGTGGGAGCACTGACTCTGAGGAGTCTTCCCTCTGCTCCTTTAGCTGGTTCTTTCTCTGGCCTTGAGTTGTTTTCCCACTCAGAACTCCTGTGAAGACTTGGGATCCTTGCAAATGTCCAGAGCTCTCTGTGTGTAGCTCTCTGCTCCCCAGGCCTCTGCTTTGCATGCTCTAACCCCCTTGGCCTCCCCAGTCTCCCAGTTCTATCTCCTCAAGTCAGGGCCACACCCCGCTCCACCTGGGATCCCCTTCCTGCACTGTAGCCTGGAAACGGTCTCCAGGCAACACACTCACAGGTCTCACCTCATTTGTTTCCCCTCTCTCAGGGATCGCTCTCCCTGTTACCTAACGACAATTCCTGAAACTATTGTTTTATATTTCTTCCAGGGCTTTTAGTTGCCTCTGAATTACTTGAGGAGGAAAGCACTTCTGTGATGTTGTCTTCATCTGGAGTCCCCTAGTAGCGGGCTCTGGGGTATAGTTGATCCTGATGCGTTCTGGTTTTGTGAATTTGCCTACTTGCTACAATTTATTTGTAACCTCGAAATTAATACTTGTGTCACTTTCACAATCATTTGTGGATGAGTGCGGAGTGGCAAAAATGTTGACTTCTGTGATGTGCACATTCCCAGCTGAGGTCACACAGGTGACACTCTGACCTTGTTCCAGCTCTCGTATTATAAACAAGTATCCTGTTCTATCTAGTGCGATGTTTACACATTTTTTGTGCTTTGTGTTGGTGATTTTGCTGTTTAAAATGGCCCCCAAGCCTAGTGCTGAAGTGCTGTCTAGGGTCGTAAGCGTAGAAGTCTGTGATGAGCCTTACGGGGAAAATGCATGTGTTAGATGAGCTTCATTCCTGCGTAAGTTCTAGTGCTGTTGGCCGTGAGTTCGATGTTAATGAATCCACAATATATATATATATATATATATATATATAAATATTAAGGGGTCTTTGAACATAAACATATAAAACAAGGTTATGTATTGATTGGTTGACCAGAAGACCAGGGAGCAGTGGTTCTGTATTTGCTAATTCAGTATTCATAGCAACTTTGTAGAACACCACTCCTACGAAGTCTTGTTACTGTACAAAAAAACTGAACAAGTAGTTTATTCATGGAGGGGAGAGGGGAAGAGAGATAGGGAAGGGAAGGCAGCCTTTGAAGAGCATGTCATCAGGGCAGCTATTACTGTGGGAACCTAGAGCTTAATATCATTGGGGTTGTTTGGGAGCCACAGTAGAGCATGCCTCAGGGTGATCACAACCAAGGGAGAGGGGGGTGGGGTATTTATGCACCAACCCCCCATCAGCTGAGGTCTGCTGGGGAGGGGCACTCAGGGCCTGCTGGGGAGCAGACAGAGGCACTGAATGCCAAAGGAAGTCCTCAGACAAAGAGGTACAGACGCTGGTGACTGAAGTCCAGCCTGCGTTTCTACTACAGGGGGAGAGGATCCA